AGAATAAATATAATAGTTGGTAGTTAGACTGTGACGCTATCCTTTATTAGATTCATTAAACGCCGCGAATGCAATGAATGCAGTAATCGTCAATTGAATTTTGCATTAATGCAACCTTAGTAACTAACTACTTAATTGTTATGCAGGCATGAAGGGTATATAGAAATTTATTTGCGCTATACGAGAATCTATCATCATAATAAGGGTCAGTAAAGAGAAATACTTGAAAATTTTACATTACAAGTCTTAGCTGAACAAAGGCCTCGCCCATAGATTGCCACAAAACACAGTCTTGAGCTACCTACATCCATCGACTCCCGGTTTCATCAGGTTTTTACTGCAGGGGGGGGGGGGGGGTGTCACAAAATACAGCGCTTGCCAGTACGAGGCTCCCTTACTATCGTATATCTATTATATTATTCTTCGAGCAATATGACTGGCCTTTTGCCAGTTGACTTTAATTTTAGAAGGGGCAAACGAGCATGCGGCTCACCTGATGGTAAGTGATTACCGCCGCCCATGAACAACTGCAACACCAGGGGAATTGCAGATGCGTTGCCGGCCTTTTAAAAAGGAGTAGGCTCTTTTCTTGAAGGTCCCTAAGTCGTATCGGTTCGGAAAAACCGCTGGTGGTAATCGATTCCACAAGGAAGTTGTGCGAGGAAGAAAACATCTTCTAAATCGCACAGCGGTGGACCGCCAATCATCCAGATGGTGTGGATGGTATTGGGAGTTCTGCCGCGATGTGCGTTCATGAAATTTGGCGGCTGCGATAAATCCGAACAGCCTACGATCCGCTGAGCTGCGATGGGCTTTATTTATAATGGATGATGAAATGTATGTGGCGTGAAAAGGCTCTTATCCAAGTTTCTCCAAATTTCAACCTTGTTTGAATGTTAATAATATATCGACGAACTTAACTCGGTCGGTCCAATTGCAGCGCGTAAGTAAACACAAGTGAACATTACTGTATCCCACTCGGTTGCAACGATGTGCAGCGATACGAGGAATCGCTTGCGAAATGCTCAGAAATGATCGTATCGTGTGAACCGACGGCTTTGTTGTTAGGGAACGTGCACACTCGCGATTTATTTATATTTTTCTCTTAAGGAAAAAAGTGATTAGATTGGGCTACTACGACGATGCGGATCCGAAAAAATACGTCACGTGGAGAAATTTAGTACGGTATGAAAAAACAACGTGACGTTTTCTTGTAACGTTTCGCCGGCCCGCAGTAATAAAATTATTAATAAAATACAAGAAGAATGATATGTCGTAAAGAAGTTTCACTTCGTACGTGTGTACATAATTACACGCACAATTTTTTTGCTTTACGTATTTTAAACTATCGAAAACAAATGTGCACAAGCCCTTAATATAAAGCCGTGAAGCGTGATGAACTCAATCAGTGCATTGCAATTGACATCGCGATGGAACTTTACAATTGTATTAAAAGCGAACGTATCAGTATTCCTTGAGTAATATGGGCTATACGAGTAATTTGCGAACAGCATGCTATTTACATACGTATCACACGTCTTCATGATAACGAAACGTTAAAGGATCGTTTAATAAAACGAATGAAGATATTCTGTTTGTGAAATGCGATACTTGCGATGAGTGTGGGAGTCGCCTAACTGGGTCCCGACATGAGATAATTTAAAGTGCAATGAAATGCAATACGAGCCCAAGATTTTTAATAACAATAGCAAGTGTTTGCTTTTACTTATGTATAATGTTTTTATCAATAAGATATAGATATAAGATAATCAGGACGGTCAGTCTCAACGAAGATTACCCATCTGCGCAGGACAGGATTATAGTGCTCGAGAGCACAGGTGCACGCACTGTCATAGTCCGATAGGACGTTAATCCAACACGATCAGAGAGAGATCAGGTGCAGTACCAACGGCTTTACGTGCTCTCTGAGGCACAGGGTTAAAAAGCCGCCAACTTCCTGACTCCGAGCTGCTACTGGGCATTTCTTGACAGAAAAAAAAACAAAACATTTTACCCGACCGATCCGAACCGAACTAGGAATCTTGATCAGCAGTCGCGATTACGATCAGTAGACCAACGAGGCAGTCTTTGTACCAAACAGGTACCGACCTCTCATTATCGAGAGGGTACTTGGAGGAGGAGACAAGAGAAGATAAGAACCGCGCTGTTACTCTGCGTATTGGTGGACCCAATGGCTCTAAGAAAGAAGGTCTAAATTATTCAATCAAATAAACAAAAAAAAAACGTCAAAAAGTGTCGTGAAATACTCGGTTGGAACGAATTTCTTTTCGTAGTATATTATTATTGATAAACGCATTATATTATTGATTAACAAATACAAATAAATGAATTACTAGCGTCTATTAAAGTGAAGCGTCATTTAAAAATAAAATAATATTTCTTTCATGGCAAGATAAGAAAACGTGCGAGGGAGGTGGATATTATTCCATCTCGCTTCCTTATAGCCGCCAAGGCCATCTAGACTACGTCAGAAGGGGTCGGGACGGAATAATCTTACAATTTTTGTCGCCTAGCCTCCATCTGCCAAATCCGTACCGTCCGATAAGGAACTTCGTTCCAATAATCGTTGATTGAATCTATATTGAAAGATTACTTGTGAAAGAATACTTGTTACTAATAAAATCTATTCAATTGTATTTTTTGTCACTGAAATTTTTAATTGCAAGTACTGATTTACGACGTGCTCGGCGGTGCAAGTTAATAAACAATTGTCTGAAAAATTCATAAAAAATTCGAGGACATGTGAACTTGCATTACAAGTGCAAATCACAACAATATAAATTGCGCATGCAAACAACTACAATGAAAATGTAATTATCACGTTTAACGGATTTCCTCATGCGACGGCTGATGCTATAAGAAAATCGGCATTTATAATTTTTAAAATAATACCTGTAAATATGACACGTATGACAACATCCAGTCGTCCTAGGTTAGAATCATGTAACAGATGTAAAAATATATATCTTATTTTAATGTACAAAATATTATATTTTGGCCATCTTGCTCCGATACTGATCTAAGCCTGTGCGCTTCAGTAATTTCAAACAGCACCTACACAGCTTATCCGTTTTTGAGAAACGGAAAGGTACTATCTACCATAAATAACAAAAATGCTGATACCTGCGGAATTTCTTTCGTCGTTTCTTTTCCGAACAGAGAATTATCATTTTAAACCGGTAGTAGATTATTTTATATTTATTGTGTGGGCAGTTTACATACATAATTTTCACTAGAGCAAACATCCAGACCCGGAACAATTATTTGTAGATCATACAAATAGATATTCGTGCCGTGCAGGTCTCGAACCCACAGCCCTCAGCGCTGAAAATTGCTAAGCGATCGCGCCACGGAGCTGTCCGATTTTAAAGTAGGTATATAATTTCTTACGAAAAATAAAGAGATTTCGTTTCATTTCAATTTATTTACCGATGTCGGAATCGATTGGGTAACATCATAATCATACACATCATGATCATCCTGTGACAGCTGTTAAGAATACCTTTATTATAATGTTAATACCTATATAAGTGCAATTTTGTATGTAATGATTCTTAAGTACGCATTTCAACGCCGTACTTCCGACAGTGAAATTATTTGGCATCGGCCAGTGTTTTGGTACCAAAATAGCCGGGTATTAATAAACTAGATTAGAATGTTATCGATCGGCGTCTAGTTCGTTCACCTACGTCTGCTTGTCAATTTAGTGGTGTCGTAATTTTCACACTTTGAGAGTTTTGTGCGTTACCTCTGTGTATTAACTAGTATGTACTTAAAAATGCTTTGAACGTTTATTTCGTGTGCTTCAAAATTTTAAATTATCAGTAGTTTGGAATTAGTAAAATTCTATATATTCAAGTGAGACTTATAAGCGAGCACACAGTCCACCAGATGCTATGTAAAGCGGCAACATTGTAGCCGATAGTCACGAACATCTATTTATTTATAACTTCATATACACACGTGATATGTCGAACTATCAATGAGAAATCAAAATACAGTTCCGTTGTCTGCCCTGATGACTGAGATACAATCTCTGGTTACAATATAAATTGAACTTTTTATTAAAAGTTTTACTTTTCCTACCGACTTCAACTGAGGATAGAGATATGATATCTCGTTATCAGTTAAAATTGAATTAAAAAAAAAAGTAAAAGCCGATTTCAAAGAGTTACAAAGAACAAAATAAATTCCACATCACAGATTCTAAAGTCAGTGCTAAGACTAGTTTTTAGAAGATTTAAAGGCTCCAGTTCAGAAACTAAGATATTTGTAAAAAAGTTAAATAATAAATAGTTGTAATTTTAGTAACTATTTGATGCTTTTTAGTTTTTTAAAGTCAGCTTTTTATTAAAAATGAAATTTTAACCCTTTTCAAGGTCAATGTTGCAACTAGAATGTCGTCGAACAGTAACATTAATAAACTTCACCCACTATTTTTTCACACTTAGTGGTGGAACATATTCTCATAATTTATATGGGACTGACGTATATTTTATTAAATAAGAAAATAACCAGTTTCCCAGTTGACGAACATCGCGTTATATACATACATAAAGAAAAAAATCATACATTCGAAATGTATATAGTACCTCCTTCTTTTTGATGTCGGCTAAAAATGATCTGTGGTTCTCGTCAATAAGCATAAAAAACACAGCAAAAATATGATGTTATTTTACCCCGATCAAGCCAGATCATTTATGCTGAAGCCAAAACAAAGTTGTCGCCTGGTCTTCTATATAAAATAATAATAACGATACTAATTACAGTCCTAATTATAGTATTATTATTTAAATTTATAATTATAATCCTTGTCTAATTAATGTTCAGTCGCTCTATTATTATGAGCCTAGAGGTTTAAGAATCTTAATTATTGTAAACAAAACACTACATTAATTGACATCTTGATCCATAATGTCTTTTTTTAAGGTCGTTATGATTTCTAGTAACATGTTTTAACAATTTTTTATTCGTTACAGATGAACGGGATGCAATACAGAAAAAGACGTTCACAAAATGGGTCAACAAACACCTGAAAAAGGTAAGTTTCTGGATACGAATAAATATAAAAAAAAAAGTTATTTACTTTACTATTTTAAAGGTGTCACAGATTTTCTATGTTTTCATTCGTTTAAAATAAGGTAGGCGGTTTATTGTGTAAATTTACATGTAAATTTTTTGAACGCATATTTATGAAAAAAGCATTGGTAGTTATTGTCAGTTTAATTGCTCGACATAAAATTTCTGTAAAACAATATCCATGTGTTTTTAATTTTTACGGATTATAGTTTTCTTGTTTTCATTAAACAGTCACGTACAAAACTATTGAAATCAATAAGCTTTTTTTAACACTTGTGACAAATGAACTTACAGTCCACGACATAGTTCTCTATTCCCTGGAACTGGACACAGCAGTGCTAGCACAGGAATCTTTAAGAGGATTAAGACTTAATGGACAGAAAAGGAGTCCTACCCACCTAGTAGAGCCTAGAGCTTTCGCAAGTACATAATTAATAAGTTTTTAATATATTGTGGATAATACATCTACGAAACTTGTTCAGAATCAACTTACTTTGAAACGTGGTAGAGCCATGCTGCAGCTATATTATGGTTGTAGCACGAATGGGTCGGCTCGACCGTGGAAGAACCACGCTCTCACAGAATACTAGCGTAAAATAGCAGCTTAACGCTGCTGTTTTTCGTATAGTGAGCGTAGAGAACCGGACACCCTTTTTACTGGAAACGAGTGCTGTGGCCCATAGACATCTACATCTAGATGTCTATGGGCTACAGCAACCACTTACCATCAGGTGGACTGTGTGCTCGTTCGTCACCCTAATTCTATAAAAAAAACTAGTATAGTTCAGCGAATGCGCGTGGTAGTGCTTGTCTGTGGACATATTATCCCTTTGGCTTTGCGTTAGTGTTAGAGCGATAGAAAAATTTATAGCTTCTGACATGATCGTAGCTAGACCTAAATAGGTTCTGAGTATTTAGTCGTGTTTAAGTAACGAAGTACCTAGTGAAAATAATTGTATTAACTTTAGAGTAACAATTGCCTCGTTGGTCTAGTGGTCATAAGGACGACTGCAGGTCATGTGGTCACCGATTCGAATCCCGAGCTGGACTAAAATCAGTTACTGAGTTTTGTATAAATTCTCAATAGCATCCTGGTGTCAGGAAGTCGGCGGTGTTTCACTCCTGTGCCTCGAAAAGCACGTAAAGCCTGCGCCTGATTTCACTCCGGTGGTATCGGATTAGCGTTCCTTCGGAATATGAGAGTGCAGCTGTGCTTGCGCATACACTTGTGCACTAAAATCCTATTCCGCGCAGTAGGCTAGTTTCCTTTAAGACCAATCGCCGTGACCGAATTCGATCTGGAAGGACTTTAACAACGTTAGAAAGGTTCAACCCGATAGTAGGCTGTTAAATATTGAAATTTTCAGTTATATGTTCATTTAAATACTAACAATTGCTAACTAGGACTTGCTTTGTTATAATTGAACGGGTGACCACATGGACTGCGTCATCGATCGACAGTCGAATCGTAATGGAGTCGTGCCAGATAAATTGACATCGATGTGACAGTAGTTATACGCCGTGACAGGCGCTTCGTGACGGCGAAGTACGCATTGCGTGTGATTCCTAAGGGTATTAGTGTTCTGTGGTGTGATTCGAATGGACATTACGTGCTAGTCTTAAATCCTAAGGACGAATATTTTTTTTAAATTAGTGTAATTGCCAATCTCCACTTGACGGTAAGGGAGCACTGCAATACCTGCGGCCAATTTCAAATAATAGGCCACAGGTGACCTTTGAAAACTTAGATGAATGTTCCGTAGCCTGAATAATATACATAATTCTATCTTTCACAGTCATCATAGCCATTATCGTCACAGCTGCTAGATATAGCCCTCTCACAAGCTGAAGAGATTTTTATACTATTTTAAAATTGTGAAATATTAAATAGTACTTTTGTTATTGAGCATATTAACTTACGAGTTGTAGCTGTGATCAGGCTTTTAGAAAATTACAACGAGCCGACACGAAACAAACGAAATTACGACTCTCCAGTAATTATATCGCATTTAATTTTGATTCTTAATCGTAGATGTCTATAGTAGATACATTTACCAATAGATGAACTGTGTGCTCGTTTTTCACCCTAATTCAATTTAAAATATCTTTTCGTCTACAATTTCTTAACACATCCCACAAAACAAGTTTGCAAATACATACAAATTTTAGATTTATAAAATAAAATCTGCGTGATCATTCACATACAAAAAACCTTATCCGTTCACCCCGATCCCCTTTCTAAATCCAGTTTTTTATTAGTTTCCTGCATAACTCTTTCGATTAAATTAAAATTTACCGACAAAGCTAAGCAGGCTGATACCACGGTAGTTTTTACAGTCCTGCTTTCACCATATGCCCTTATATAGTGTTATGCAGTTCGATTTTTACTTTAAATTAAAACTTTAATTTTTATTGTCTGTTAATTGTGACGGAGGCGTAAGCGTGCGTTATATTCCTATGATTTGTAGTTTATACCTCCTTCATGGATGTGGCTACGTGTTTTTTGTTTTTTTTTTTGAACGCAAGAACACGCTTTAGCTGCAGTATGCACGCGAAACGATGTTTACTTAACCTAAAGGATCAAAGTCGCATTCCAGTATCGAACAAAGGAGACTGTAAATAATGCAGCCTTTTGTGTATCCTTCTGTGTACATTAGCCTGCATTACGAGTGTGAATGATGCAAATGAATCTCGTACTTTATTTGTTAATGGTTAAGGTCCTAAGTAAGTTGACCAGAAAATTATGCGGTGTGAATAATCGTTTGTTATAAACAGTATTCTTGTATTGGCTAAAATTTGCTTTGTGGAATGTTACTAATCAAAGATAATGTTGCGAAATTGATGATTATTTAAGACGTTGTAAAGTAGATCCTCATTAATATTTCAAATGGAACGTCCATTTTAGAACACAAATAGTCTAAATGCCTTGTTTATGTTAGCCAACTTTTTTATTTCAAAGTACCCGCGTCTTTAATTGTCATGTCCTTTTTTAAAAATATCATTTATTCATATGTTTTTTTTTTGGGTTTTTCTTTTATTTCGGTATCGCTATTTTACAGCCATGTATGGACTCCAAGAAAATTCGTGTTATTTTGTATATGAGTTCAGGGATGGAAAAATGTGTCTCAAATGATACGCAATACCAACGGTTAAATCGGTTTGGTTCGGGAAATTTTGACCACACAAGTGAACCTCGTGACCGCCCGGAGAAGATCTATCCAAGAAATGCATCCATCTCTAACTACGGCTGCGCTAGCGTCAGCTGTTGATGTATGTGTCAAAACAATGTTAGATCATTTGCGGCATATCGGTAAACTAATAAAGCTTGACAAATGTTTATCTCACGAACTAAGTGACGTATAGTTGATGACAGAGACGTTGGCAAAATTATCTGAGCTAAATCTAGAGACCTTTCCCCATCCACCATATTTTCCCGTCCTTGCCACAACAGATTTAATACGTGGTAGAGCCTGCTGCAGCTATATTATGGTTGTAGCACGAATGGGTCGGCTCGACCGGGGAAGGACCACGCTCTCGCAGAATACCAGCGTAAAATAGCAGCTTAACGCTGCTGTGTTCCGTATGGTGAGTGTAGAGAACCGGAGACCCTTTTTACTGGAAACGAGGCATTCCATCTTAGTCCTCATGGGTGACAACGCATCTGCATTTTGATACGTAATCGAAGATAGATGTAGATGTCTATGGGCCACAGCAACCACTTAACATCAGGTGGACTGTGTGCTCGTCTGTTACCTTTATCCTATAAAAAAAATTCCACTTTTTCGATATTAAGTTTCGATAACATTTGACTGGCAAATTTTTTTATTCAGAATAAGCAGTTAGTACGCTTTTAAAGAGTTCATCTATTCTCGTGCAGCAGAGGTCAATAGAAAGGGCCTTTAATTACGCAAATATTTTGGATTAGTTTTTTTTTGTGTAAAATCAACATATTTTGGTTTTTAAATATAAAAAGGCAATTTAATTGGTAAAGACCTAGCATAGAGTATATTAACGCGTCCATTGATTATATGCTTGTTAAAGACCATGTTATGAATTAGAAGCAAGCCTCTACTGGCAACTATGACAAATATCTCCCTATGAAACAGAAATTGAAAAACAGAAACTTTTTTATTCAATATAGATTATAAATAATACTTATTGAAAGCCACTCTTTTGTTTGATTACCACTGGTTCGAAAAAAACCTCTGTCCTGGGAAGAACCAGCAAGAAACCCAGCGGGATTTTTTTTTAAATAACAGCTTACAATTATGTATGTTACACAATTAACAACACAAAACAAATTAGAAATAGCTTGGTAGCGATCACTTCATTCCCAGGGGTTATTATCATCCATAAATTCCTTAATATTATAATAACCCTTTTTATACAAACTTAGTTTAATTTTATGAGGTAATTTATGGGCTATGGGGAGGCCTGTGTACAGCATTGGACTTTTGATAAACTATAATGGCAATGGTTATAGATTATAAAGCTGTTACACACGGTTGTCTGCAGGGTGCACAGAAACTTGGAGCATCATTTGCTCTGCTCGCTGTGTGAAACGTTTGTCCCATTGCTTTATTAATTGACATTGTAAAGCACAGACACTGACATGAAGTCGAGTGTGACTCATACCGTATAAGTGGAATTTGAGGAACAAAGATTTCATTCCCGGCACCAGACTCCGTTTGGACCTCCGTCTCTAAAGTTCTGCTGCAGTGTTGAGTGCTGTTGCATAACTCAGGTGGGCTCACATTTCTCAATAGTATTATTCGCACACCGACTTTTAAGATAATTTTGTGCGGTGGGAGCTCGAGCGAGGACAACACGTTTAAAAATTCGACATGATAACTTTAATGAGGCAACCGTGACCGACGTCTGTCCTCACACGCTCTTATACGTCTGTTTTGGTATAGTTACTACTAGCTGTTCCCCGCGACTTCGCTCGTGTGTTAGGGTTAT